TATTATTATTATTATTATTATTATTATTATTATTATTATTAGGTAATCATCGATATTATCCGTTTATCGTAAACGAATTTTGGACATTTACAAATTAATAAGGTTGGATAAATTAAAACTACTGAGCCAGTAGTAAGACAAACAATTATCTCTGATCTTACCTCTTTCTTAACAAGAGTAAACTAACTCTAGCATCCAAAAATATTTCAACTAATCTATTGTTTGGCAAAATAATTATGCATAGCTGTACGGCTCATGTTAAGTACACAGTGTCCTACCTTCAGTAACTAGTAAGATCTCTTTTTTCTAAAATCTTCCTTTGTTGATACTATCAGTTAAAGTGAGGAAAACGACCGATTTGCGCATTCATCTGAGCATTTGCACAATTTAGATTGAGGAAGAATTGAAACTGATACTTATATTTTTTTAACTTGGGTATGACTAATGTATAGTGACAAACTTTAGTAACTCTCAGAACGACCCTGGGAGAGGTACGTCCATTTGCCTAGTCATAGAGTCGACAATGAAAATAATTGGTTCTTAATAGGATAGTTGAGAACAGTGAAATTAAAATCTATATATTTTCACACGGCTAATGAATTTCTTAAGGTTAATTAGTTTTTATAATCTGGAATAAAAAAATCGTTGATTTTAATGTTTTATCAATCTCTATGATTCTGCATCTTCCGTCAAGGGATAGTATTATCCATCCCAAGATTTCAAAGCAAACTTCTCTACAACATGGACACTATTGTACCACTAATGGTAGTTGCATCAACTACTGGGGCTTGCATAATCTAACACATGACCATAAGCAGTATTTGTTTAAAAGTCTCTATGGGACGAATAAAAAGGGAATCAGTCGCTCTACGCTTCTGTCTCAAACACAAATGGTGCCCAAATACAACTTTGTTGCGTCTATCTTAACGTTCTGTCAGCCTTATTTTCTCAAGACAACAATTGCTCTCCGAAGCACCGTCTTCCAGATAGGAAGGCTATCAATAGTTACCTATCTGGAAACCTTAGTTTCGTTACGTTCAATCTCATATGACTGGATAAAACCTTAGAATTCTATCATAGTGTTCTAAACAAACTCATTCACTTCGTCATTGTAGCGTCAAATCATAGTAACATTGTGAATCTCATGGCGATACATACTTTTCGCTTTGACTTCTTACCATAGCTATAGAATCACGAGTTTCAGTAGGTTCTCTAGCTAAATTTATTCTTCCTACTATTTCAATATTTGATTAAGTAGTGTGAATGCCTATAAAATAACATTTTCTTTTTATCCGGACCACCTCTGTGTCTATATTTTTAGTAACAGCAAAATACTTTGTGAAATCCTACTTCGTGTTATAGCAACGCAAAATAATTGATTGAAATCAATGTTTTACGTGTAATACATAGGCGTAATACAACAAGTGAATATTATTATGAGATAGGTCACATTTTGCCATATTATGTCGATCGACAAGATGTGACTATTTTTAAAGTAGGAAAATACATGCACTTTGTTTCTGAATACCATAATAGCTTTATTTGATGTAATCTGGAATATTTAGCTTGACTCTTATAGAACGTATAATTCGTCAATCTACCTATTGATTGAATTATTACTTGGTCCCTTTCTGGTTTGAATTGTGTGCTGTTGAGGTGGTTTGGCAGTCCTCTTCAGTTTCATTATCAATAGGAAATACACTATCGCACTGGTTTTTGTAATTGATTCTTGGTTTTTCATTGGAAAATAGCGAATCAGTAGTGCCTGGGTTGTTGAACATTGTGAAGTATTCTCGGAAGGCGGTATTTCGTAGTCAGATAAAGTATATTGGCCCCGAAATACTACCAATGACACGAATTAAGTTGGTGTAACTGAAATTAAACCAAACCGTTAGTCGGTTACTTGATCACAACTTCTCTGATCATATAACTGATTATTTTACTGAGTAATTGGATCAAAACTGTGTTAACTACAGGGTAGAATAGGTAGTAATAATAATATCTTGGCATCCCATTTGAAGTCCTTGTTGGGCTTAATGAAATATAAGTGCGAGATTCCGTAAAATGCTGTTTACTTAATTACGTTTTCCATAAGAATGCTCCAGAGTTTGAGTGAGACTTATCCATAGGTAAGCATGTACAGGACGGTAGGAATAACAGAACTACCTGTATCACAAAAATTACTATTTTATTGATCTTCATATATATATATATATATATACGATGGAATTAGACATGTAACTGAGCAAATCAGTTGCTCTCTTTGTTAGTTATGACCACTATTCTCATGATATTAGTAGCGGATTTTCCACGATAAATTATGGAATAAACAGTATGACGATCGTTTGCATTCTAAAAAAATTTAGTCATGGATTAAACAATGGTCAGAAAACTAAGTTATAACTATTCGAATCTAATTGTTAATTAATGTTAAGCAATCTTACTCATAAATGAGTATATTGAGATATTATTTCTGATCTAGCGTTTGAGTGATATAAATCTTTACCTACTGTCATTGCTTTTGTTCTCGAGTTGAGTTATAGTTCATCTGTGTGTGGTATGTTAAGGGAGAAGTATTGGTTCGCTGTTAATCCGATAAAAACTTGATAGTTCATACAGTTGGTGCTTAGTAACGGTATCAGAAAAAAGGAGCCAATCCCTTCACCTTTCGACAGTAGACCTGAGGCTTTCCTGTTATGTCTGCAAAATGTACTGTTAGTAGACCTTTGTATAATTTCCATAAAATAAAGAAAATTGTCCTATTCACTAACCAGTCAAATGAAAGAACATTCAATGTCTGTAATTGTTATCTATCCTTATAGGATTATAGTACATTGATTTCTTTGCATGTAAAATAAAAAATCAAGGCTCTATTGTATGCTAAACATTGGCGGTTTCTAAACACTTCTGTTTTACTTTTTAAAAGCAATAATTTAGTGATATAACGCCAAGTATTCCCTGTTTTTAACGACACAATACGACCAGGTGCGAGATTTGTACCACTACTAGGATAAATACGTGATCAATACACAAAGTGGTTCACGTTACATCAGACGCACGATTCAGGACTAGAATATAGAACCAGATTATAGACTAGACAATTCTTTATTCGATACAACTCTAAGCAGTCAACACTCAGTCAGCCAAGAGTAGAAACCAATGACTGGAAGGAATTCACAAATTAAATATTCAGTAACTTTTGCCCGTCAGGTCACACACAAAGACCAATCACATTTACTTTCACTACCAAACATCAGTTATCCCGTGATATTTATGGAAAGATAACAACCGTTAGCTAGCTTGCATTCATCTGCTCTGGCAATATCACACCATAATTTTATTCTGAGGACCTATCTGCAACCTTCAGTCTCTTGTATATTCTATACATTCAGATCGTTTTGATGACTCATTTATAATTATATTTAATACATTCATATGAACGGAATTTCGTGAATCTAACTAGCTACGCACATGTATAGTAACAAACAAAAATTGTTTATTCCACTAATTATTTCACGTGAATACGATTGTACGTACAGCTCTTAAAGATAAAACCAGAAAGGACATATCTTACGTAACAAACTAGTCTTTTTTATTTTGGATAAGTGAAAACAAGTATTCTATTGAAAATTTTACAGAAAATGTTCTTCGTTGAATAGTAGTGCGCATACCAGGCTTGACTGTCTACGTTGACGTACGATACACATTAGTTTCATTACAATAATGGTTAACCTGGGTGACATGGCTCAGAACCGATCACAATGGTGTCGGTGTGTACACTCTTTGTCTTCTCTTAAACCGTGAGATTAATATTGCTTTATATCCTTCTTTCTACGAACTAACTCTTCTTTCCTGATGTCATTTCTATGGAGCCTTTCTCATTTATTATAAATTCCTCGTTAATTGTGGACGGTATTTTTAAGTAGTGCATACAAAAATGTCAGTTTTCGGAAAACTGGATTTCAATTTAAAAGTATCGTGCTCGCCAAGAGACCTGAGGGTCTTCGAAAATCTGTGAGATAATTGTTCATGTTTTAGTTATTACAAATTTACATGGTAATTGCAGAAAGCTACCACCGTTAAATATTTTAAACATATGTGAGCCAGAAAGTATAGGCTGGTTGACTTAAAGTTCATATCAGATATCTTAAGAAATTCAGTTTAGTACGGAGTACCATAAATTATTATCAAGTTAAGTCATGGAAATCTAAGCACGTCTCATAGCTAAATTGCGTGAAGCAGTAAGGTACGCTAGAGAACGGCGAAATATTATTCAATTGCAATTTTAACTGATCGTTCAAACGAAAAAGACCCATCATAAAAAATAGAGACATTAAATTAGGACTCATGTATTAACTGTCAAACTTACGAGGATTAAGTTTCAGAGCCTGCTATGTTCGGTATACCAGAGAATATCTTGTTCGGATAGTAGATTGTAATCTCATTTTCGGTATCAATATCATTAAGTAACTTAATCTTATGATACGCTTCGCTATGCAAATTGAGACATTTTCTTTTAAAATCGTGAGCACTAAATATTATTGTTGTTACGATCTTTAATATATTAGCTGTTTTAAGGTTGCACGTGTTAGAAAAAAGAGGCCCATCAGTGTGAACTGCTTTAAACCCTGTTGAATACTGCACACTCTAAACCCCAACACTAATTATACGACAAAGGCGTGAAATCAAGTGCTTCTGAGAGGATTGTTTCATCGAAGTCAAGACAACAGATAGTAATGGTAAGAAACTATGTGATACGATTTAATATCAACAGTAGTGCAGGAAAACAACACACTACTCACTAGTGAGTATGCATTGACTACAAACATTTATATAACCATGTCTTATTCCATTTTTTGTCACCTACCGGTAATACTACTCCCAAATTCTCGGCTTTCCATAGTTGAAAGGTTATGAGTTGTGGCGGTTAACCACATATGAATTAGTTAATATGTGGTTACAATTCATTTGCTAATTTTTTCTCGTATAAGCACTTGGTGGTATGTGACAACCTGGACTAGAAAGCTTTTACTCCAGGTTTCATTCTTTGTTTACATTTGTGTTTAAAGTAGATCAGTGGCCGAAAATACTATTTGTATAACAGAAATTCCTTTTGATTTAATAACAAATTTTAGTACTTATGGAGTAATAAGAGATTTGAACAAGCTGACCTGAATAACATTCCAGGCTTAGTAGAATAGAAAATATGAATATATCATGTTGGTAGGTATAAGAAAGGTTTCGTGGAATAAAATAAAAACAAAATTACATCTGACATACATAGGTCTTACCATTTAGTATCCATAAAACTTAAATAAGTGGAACGTTTTGATGATAACAAGTTGTTCTGTTTTTACATTAGTCCACTTAGCAAAAAGAGCTGTTCCCTGAATCGTTTGAACAAATTGGGATTGTGGTAGCTGGCTACATATTACTTGAAGGATTCTATCAAGATTGTTAAAACATGGATCCATACCAACGTGCACAAATTTCACTTTCAATTCATGAGTGAATGTACAGAATAAAGTAATGTATAGTATCGGGTATTTCTAGAGAAGACGCAAAACATTTCGGGCAGGTATTATTTTATAACGTAATTGTGGAGTATAAATTTAAGTAATCCGTTTAAATTACAATTACAGTTATTAGGAAATATATGTACATCAATAAGGTTTAATATAGATTAGTTTTCTTCATGACCCGAAGAAACTCTTGCTCGTTGACTTCACCATCACCATCGCGATCAGCCTCATCAATCATTTCCTATGAGTTACATAACAGTTTTCTTGACTACTTACTTGCAACTCCTCGTCAGTAAGATTTTCACCAAGTTCTTTTGCCACACGCTTAAGGTTTTTAAACGATATTTTCCCAGTTTCATCATCGTCAAAAAGGCGGAAAGCTTTTAGCATCTCTTCTTTTGCATCTTTGTCTTGCATTTTTACAGCCATCATTCTCAGAAAGTCCGAGAACTCAATCGAATCTAATGGATGAAATTTTTGGTTACGTGAATTATCATACCTTTGTTGTCGCAATCGAATTCTGTCAAAAGTTTTCTCACTTCTTCTTTTTTCGGTTCGAAACCAAGGGCACGCATAGCAACTTTTAACTCTTTGATATCGATTGTTCCTGACTTATCAGTGTCAAAAAGGTCAAATGCTTCGCGGATTTCTTGTTTTTGATCTTCTGTAAGTTCATGTTTAACACCACGACCCGCGATCTCCTTTTTCTTTCCCGATGGCTGCTGAGACGGTCTTTTTGTAACTGTGGACTGTTATATTCAGGAATATATATTCAACCAACCCACCATATAAGCACAATCAAATCATTCACTGCTTTCCTAAATAATCAATATCAACACTACATAGCTAGTTTAAAGAAATACAGAGGAAATTTTCGTTAAATGTCGTAGGGTGATAAAATCACTAAGAAGCTGCAGTTTTTATCTGAACTACATTAAATACTATCGTGAAGGTAAATAAGTAACCAGTATAGCAGTGTCATAGGAAAAGCAGGAAGCTATAGCTACATTTCAACATGCAGTTACATACATATACGAAAAGAATTTAAGTGGTTGGAATCCAACGACTAATTGTACAGGAATAAGTGTAATATAACTAGTAATTTTTCGACGGTGCATGCAACAGTTACATAAGTATTCAGTCTAGTATCAGCATCCACAGGGTCTTGAATCAGTCGGCCACATGAAGTCCCTATATTATCACAAATATGACTGTGTCCATTATACTTTTAGTGCATATGGGATCGCTAAAAACAAGTTAAATAAATCAAGTAAAAAAGCTTGGTAATTATCATTGGACATTATGCATTTCCAGAACTAGTTAAAACGCAGTGTATATCATTAAACTTTGTATGTGACCCAAGTAAAAATCTTTTGGAAGAGGTTCACAGGCTACTGGTGACGACTGTTCTACACGACACAACCCGTGTGTGAATAAAGTTTAATTACCGGTTTCAGTAATTGCTGGAGTTATATAGAAATATGTTACTTCTTTACTAACCAGTCTTTACACGAAATTCAATAATCTAGCCATCCGCTCCATCTTGATGATTAGGCCCTTTCGTTTACTTCCTGTAGTTTGAAAACTGGCTTAAGGTATTGTAGGGTCAGCAAAATGTCACTAAGCCCTAGCCAAATCATACGGCAGCTGGGTCATTGAATATCGAGCACATTATCGATCCTCGTCAAGGTCAGGGACAACCAACGCGCATCAGTTAGTCGTATGCCATGGACTGGCCCATGCGGCAGTGGTCTTACTTTCGCTTGTATCTACATACTGACTCAGCATGTGACGAGACTAGCCAAGAAGGATGGTGATTCTAGACCCTGTTTAATGAAGATAACCTTCCCATTTTCCCATATGGCGGCTGCAACTCTGGAAGCATTTCGTGCCAACAGACGTCGACTGCCACTTGGAATCCACATGCACCTGGATAGGCCGTACGAAGCTAGGACCAAACACAAAGGCAAGCTGAAGCTGATCATTCCACTTGTGGATTGTCTAGACGATAAAAAACGTGTAAAGGACGGGGCCTACCACCTCGGCAAACCTCATGTAGGTGGGCTGCCTGTCCATTCACGTAAGGCTCATACAGACAAACAGGAAGAAGCTCACGCGTTCCAAATTGAAAGCATAAACTGCTTATATATGAACGCCTCAAGTCTACCAAACAAATTGGATGAACTACGTGAACTTAGCAATGCTAATTAGGCCCATCTGATAGGGATATCCGAAACCTGGATATCTTTTCAGTTCTCGAACCATGAGTTAGCATTACCTGGGCTGTCTTTGTTCCGCAATGACAGAAAATCAGGATTTGGGGGCGGAGTAGCTGTTTACATACGTTCTTGGTTGGAGGTGCATCAAGTTCATAACCCCTAGTTCAACGATCTTGAGGAATTTATATGGTGCTCTGTAAGATTGTTTAGTACTTCGAGGTGTCTAGTCGGAGTCATTTACAGGAAGCCAACTGCCGACATCGAGTACGATAGTCGTATGCCGGATGTACTATCCCGCTCTACTCGTCTTGGTTTCACACACATCCTGATTCTAGCGGACTTCAATCTCCCTAGAGTCAACTTCGCGGAACACACGTATACTGGAGGCGACAACTCAATTGAAGTTCGGTTCTTCAACCTCATCGATGACTTGGGATTGTTCGAAAATGTGAGGTCGGCAACTCGTTGGAGAAACAGTCAGACGCCATCGCGCTTAGAATGTGTATTCACAAACGAAGAATTTCTAGTTGACAACCTCTCAATCCTGGCTCCCCTGGGAAAAGCGATTATGCCGTCATAGCCTTCAGTTTTGTCTGCAAAGCTAAGCTAAGATACCCCACCAATAACTTGCGTTGGAATTTTAAACGGCTAACTGTTCCAGCTTTACACGACTATCTGCAAAAGGTGTTTTGGGATGTTCACCCTCAACTCGATGTGGACGGTCATCGGGACTTCTTACTGCACACGCTCTTACGTGCTACAAACCATTCAGTTCCTAAAACGGTTCCCAAAAGCTGTAAGCCTCCTACAATAATCAAGAACCGTACCCTTCGCCTGCTAAGCCGCAAAAGGCACTGTTGGGCGGAATACAAACGAACTGACAACGACGGAGAGAACAGGCAATATAAAAATATCAGGAACATATGCACGAAGGCTATAAGAGAAGATAGATTTCAGTACCAAACAAAGCTAATGGACAAATTTGCCTCTAATCCTAAAAGCTTATTCCGTTATGCAGCCTCTCTTCGTCAAGCCAAAACTGGAGTTTCCCAACTGGTAGGTCTTAACGGCCCGACTAACAACGATGGCGACGCCGCTAACCTTCTGGCTGAACATGACTCCCAGACATTTCAACCGACTGTCATTAACTTTACTGATGACAATTTCATTTGCAATTCCACAGGACTTTCCGAAGTGAACCTAAGCGCTGACTTGGTGTTCCGGAAACTGAAGCACTTAAGATTAGACACTTCTCCTGGCCCGGACATAGTCCATTCCGCCATACTGAGGGAAGCAGACTCAATCTTGGCAACGCCGCTTAGCGTGATGTTCTCACACTCGCTAAGTCGAGGGAAACTACCGGAAAATTGGAGGCTGGCTCACATCACACCAGTTTTCAAAGGAGGTCAATGCAGCGAACCTTCAAGTAACCGACCGGTGGCTCTTCTCTCCATACCTTCAAAAATCATGGAGTCCCTGATATGCGATGGTATATATGACTATTTACTGTCCTTAAATTTCTTCTCACCCCAACAGCATGGTTTCAGGAAGGGTTACTCTTGTATTAACAACCTGCTGAATGCGGTGGACAGATGGACAAGCATCCTTGGTCACAAGGGGAAGGTTGATATCATCTACCTAGATTTCTCAAAAGCTTTTGATAAGGTTAACCATACATGTCTTATCAATAAGCTCAAACGATTTTGTATCAGACCACCTCTAATTGATTGGCTCACTTCATACCTGAAAAATCGACATTTTAAGGTCAGGGTTAATTTAACTTTATTTCAGGCCATGGAATATCCTAGTGGGGTCCCCCAGGGCTCAGTACTAGGACCTCTTCTCTTCTTGATCTACATAAATGATCTTCATCAACAGGTATCGTCAGACTTTTTACTTTTTGCCGACGACGTGAAACTTTGGAGAGAGATACGCAACCAAGACGATATGCAATCAGTTCAGGAGGATCTGACTCGACTTCAAAGTTGGGCAGACGATAATGGACTTACCTTTAACACTTCAAAATGTAAAGTAGTCCATCTGAGACGTTTCGCAGACTACAGTTATAACTTAGGTAACTCCGCTCTATTAGTATCCCAAGTCGAAAAAGATTTAGGAGTCCTGGTGCCCTACGATTTAAAGTCTTATGCTAACTGCGACAAAAATGCCTTCCGAGCAAACCTTGCACTGGTAACATTGAAGCGCATTTTTGGCCAGTTTGGCGGTAGAACTTTCCATATAATCTTCAATAGTTTTATTCGTCCCCATTCAGAGTACGGAAACATAGTATTTTCTCCCTCAATCCAAAATGATAAGGACACTGTGGAGCGTATCCAACGGCGGGCCACGAAATCAGTTCGAGGACTTGAATTTTAACCTTATGAACAGCGCCTCCAATTACGTGACACTTATCTGTCAGAGTACAGGCATCTTAGAGGTGACCTTCTGATGGCTTATAGTATCCTTAACACTTCTGGACATCCTCTCAAACACCTACATAAGCTTAGTTCAAACACTAACCTAAGAGGAAACACCCAGAACCTGGAGATACAACATAGCAGAACGGACTGTAAACACAACTTCTACTCCTTAAGAGTTGTCAAATGCTGTAATTCGCTGCCGAGCGACGTAGTCCAAGCGACTTCCCAGGAGTCCTTTAACAGGCAGCTTGATCTATTCTTAAGGACTAATTTCTTTTCCTCTTTTATTGTTAACATACCTAGGTTCCTGCCTGGAGGATTTGGTGATCCCCTGCTACTAGAAACGGAAGCCTGTTAAGCGAAAGCCTTTTCTGTTCCATCCATAACCATCTGAACCATTTGAACCATTTAACAAGCATTAGCAGCATGTAAATGCTCCTGTGTAATATGTCTGTTAAAATATCAACCACTCGTGAGTATAGCCACAAGGCAACACGAACGCATATCTCTTTGTAACATCCTTTGGTATAAATAAGACAAGATTAACTGTTGACTATAAATTCATCATTCTGCTTAACCACTATCCACTAGAATGTTTTACTTTTTTTTTACCACCGCCTGCCTAATTTCTAGTTGCTGAGTTCCATTGCCAAACAGAGGGTACGGATGTTAGACGTTTACGGTGAGTTTGAACTATAAATTTTCTTCAGTCTTAGATCTCGTTTAGTCTGTTCTTCAAGCAATGCTATTTATTTGGTTTAAATTAATTCTGGAGTTATACAAGTTCAATCTACAACGCTGTGTTAATCGAAAAATTTAACCAATAGTACCTCGTACATAATCCAGATTCAAATTACTGCTTACTTCATATCTTCATTACTTAGAAGCAAGAGTAACCCGGGCGAGTTTCATAATTTCATTAGATTATTTCGTACTATATTTATGATGCGTGATAACATTTCGTAGTTGCTTTCACGTAAAGTAGGCATATATCCTGTCACCGCCGTCAAGTTTTAGTCGAAATCATGTACATTTATGACTCGTTAGTCGACATACTGTCGTAAAACATATTGCATGTACACGAGCGCGCTTAGTCCATGTCCCAAGTACACACACTTTGTCATAATAATAATAATAATAATAATAATAATAATAATTTATTCTCAAATAACAGTTTGTTACATGAGGCATGCCAGTTTACAGGCAAGATCAAATTGATACAA